AAGGTTGGTTGACCACCATTAGAAAAATAGCTGCTTTACACATATTGACTTTTGGTATCGTTGTTGATATTGTAGATGACTACATTATTAATAGAGTGAGCACAAAAAGGAATGTGTAAAAAACTTTGTTGGAGGAGTCATTAAAATATTTGGTAAATAATATTTAAGAAAGACAAATGCAACATACTTATAACGGTTGTTGTATGTTGCGGAGGAACATGATTTTTACGGAATGATGAGAAGTATTGATTGTATGCACTGGGAGTGAATTTTTTCCAACTGCTTGGAAAAGACAATGTTTGTGAAGAGATTATGGCAAATCAAGGATTGTATTAGAAATCATGGCATCGTATGATCTATGGATTTGACATTATTTTTTTGGTACACCAAGTACACGCAATAACATTTACATACTTAAGCAATCTCCTATTTTTTATGATTTTTTGAATGACAAATGTCCGGAAGTGAATTTTATTGTCAATGATCATTAATATAATATGAGGTATTATCTCATGAATGTAATATATCCTGCATGGGCAACTTTGATCCAATCTATTCATCTACCTCAATGACCTAAAATGTAATAATTTGCACAAAGTCAAAAAGTGACTCAAAAAGATGTAGACTGTTTTTTTGGTGTTTTATAAGTCGATTTGCTATTATGTGACGTCCATCACTCTTTGGGATATTGATTTCGCTGGTAAGATAATTAATACATATATTATATTGCATAAAATGATTGTTGAAGATGAAAGAAATTCATATATATACATTATTATAATATATTCCAATTTGAACCAATGGAGCTAGGTAGATAATATTAACAACACAAGTCAGCCATATTTTGCCGATAGACATGACGGAATGACTGAGTTCCTAAGAAATCAAATGCAACTTCGAGACAGAGCAACGCATCAACAATTCAAATTAGATTTGGTTGAACAACATATGACAAAAATTTGTTTCCATGATTAATTAACTTATTTATTTTTATTTTATTTTTAAATATTTCTATTGTATTTGTAGTGTATTGTTCATTTTGAAGAAATTAATTATTATGTCTTTATTTTATTTTACTAATAAGTATTATAATAAAAATAAATAATATAAATAATATTTCAATAATAAAAATTAAACGAAAATAAAATAATAAATAATATAAAAATACGAAATACTATTATTGCAAATTAATTAATAAAAATACTTTAGTATTGATTATTTATAAATTTATAATAAAATTCTGATTTTAAAAGGTAAAATATATATAATGATGTAGAAATAACAAAAATAAAATAAAATAATATGTGATAAGTTTATGTGTTAGGAATATAAAATAGAGACGAGTATCTTCACTAATATATCAAAAAGAAAAAGTGATATAGAAGATGAAGTTAAGTATTTATCATCGGATTACCTTGTCATGATCGCTTTAATTAGTTAAAATTCCAATTTGATGCCTCGCCAAAATTAGCAATTTTGATGATTTCAGAAATTCAAATATTGTATTTAATTTAGTCATCCCTTCAGAGTTCCGCCGAAGAAAAGAGAAGGAAGAAGATTGATGTCAATCGAAGAGATTACGAGTCAAACAATTGCTGTTGTGCTGTTGCCCGGAGCCGCCGTCTGCCGCTACTGTCGGCCAGTAGCTGCATGGGGGATGCCGGAGCTAGCAAAGCCGCTGTAACTATATAAAATAATAAATCTTTATTAATTAAAAGGAAAAACAAGAAATTTAAGTGACATTTATGTGCTAAGGTCATTTAACGCAATTTTGTGTAGAAATTTTGTACTCACTTGTTGACTGCCCACTACATGTGTTTGTACCGTTGTACGTTCGTACTTTGGATTGTGTTTATGTCGGATTAAGCCGTTGGTCATTTCGAACCTACCTAATTTTCAATTCAAATCTTGAATTCGAATTGACACAAGATGAATTTTTTTATGTTGAGATATTTTAGATATTCAGTTTTAGATTTAGTAGATTTATACTTAGATTTAGTCTTATTCATAGATTATATTGGTTGGATTTGACTCTATCAAGTCTGTTATGTATTTTGTATTATCTATATATAGGCTCATTATTTTGATGATCAATAAGACAATTTTATTATTTTCTGCCAAAATTTCTAACATGGTATCAGAGTCTATTTTTCTCATGTCGTAGATATAGCTTACCAACCCGGGTTTCTTCGGGTACATTTAACATAGATTGTACCCGGAGGTCTTGTGATTTTGAGATCATGCTATCTGCCATATGTTCGTTGTCTGCGTGCAATCTGAAATCTATCTGCTATCTATCATCTCTCCGTTGTTTGTCTGTTGCCTGCGTGCGATCTGAAATCTATCTGCTATGTGTCTATTGCCTGCGTGCAATCTGAAACCTATCTGCGATCTGCTACTTGCTTGTTGCCTGCGTGCGATCTGAAGTTTATCTGATCTGCCATCTGTCCGTTGCATGTCTGCAGAGACGGAACTACACTAGCGAGCTTGGGGGTCACTACCAAGACAATTTTTAAATGATTTTTTTAGTATTAAAAATATTAATTTTTATGTATTTATATACAATTTGCCCCCCACCCAAAAAACTATCTAAATCCATATATAATTCTCTCATTATTATTTATTTAAATTTATTAGCTAAATATCTGCGTGAAGTTTCCGTTGCTTGTCTGTTGCCTGCGTGCGATCTGTTTGGCGTTTGTGATCATCTCGTTTTTTCTCCAGTGGAGTCATCTTGTTTTCGGTTCCGGTGGAGAGTTATTTCATTTTTTACTCTGGTGGAGATTCGTATTATTTTCGACTCTGTGAAGAGTCATTTTCATGCGAATGCAACCAAAGGATTCGGACACTGTTTTGGGAATTACAGGCTTGAATGATCAAATTTCAAGTTGTGATTATTTTCTCTGGTTTATTCTCTTTCAAAGGGGGTGAGTCGTTAATTACTATGCTAAGGATAGTCTTTCAACAGTGGTTCTTCCGCCGACAAATAACCCATTTTGGGATAAAGGCCGGTTGGTTGGGGTATTTATATTTCACAAAATTTATTTATTTGATAAATTAATATTTTGTGAATTATAGGGGGACATTATATTGAGCGTACGGACAAGAATTTAGAACGAATTGGACAAGATGACAAAATTGATTGAAACAAAGTTGGGCCAACACTTAAAGGAGGATTAAGAAGATTACTAATGAATGATTAGTAGCCAGTTTCATATCTTATGGGATTGAAATGGAGGTGGGAACCCAATCAAGATGGAATTTTTCAGCACTTTCTTTTTACTTTATCATGTTGTTTTCTTTTTTCGTTGTATCTTAGGAGGTAGAATTTTGTACTAATCAATATTATTCATCTAATGTGTTTTTTCTTGAGTTGATTTAATCTTTCAAAAAACTAATCGCATATCAACGGAAGTTTGCATCGAGTCGCCTGGAAATTCATCATATCTCACGTACGAACACAAAATTTAAGATCGAAATCAATTTCTAGGCCAACAAATAATATATATAAATAGATCGATAAAGAGGTAGACAACTTGAAAATATGTAATGGAATCTATATATATAAATGAGTGTAATGGAATATATATATATATATAATATAAGCATGTGTATCACTACTACAAAAAAATATTATTTTTTAACGAGATTTTTTCGTCTTTAAATTCATTTTTTCTGTTACTAATGGTATTAGAGACGGAATTAATAATGAAATTATGTTAATTACGTAATCTTTAGGAACGAAATTCCGTTATAAATATACTTCTTCTTCTTCTTTTCTTTTTTTTTTTTTTTTTTTTTTTTTTTTTTTTTTTTTTTTGGTAGTGTTAATTATAGTGAGAGAGAGACTGAGAGTAAATTGTATCATTTATTTGGTATGAAGATGACTATTTATAGTTATACAAAATGGTGATTAGTCATAACAAAAATGGCCACTTGGCATCTTGGCATTATAAGATGAAGACACTTATCACAACAAATAAAAACCTATTCAAATATATGTATATATTATTGGATTTAATTATTAATTTATATACAAATGGTGGATGCTGTAATTGAGGTAGCTAGTTTTATATAATGTCACCCACCAACTACAGGCACGCTGTGGCTGCGGCCTCCGCTGGCATGCAAATAAATTAAGAAACAGCTGCAGAGATCTGTACACATTTATTAATAAAATGCAACTCACAAATGTTAAATGACTCCCTTTATGTAAGGATTGTTGGAAGTTTTAAATTTTAGATTATTTAGAAAATAATAGAAAAAAAAAATTATAATTAATATGATATTTTTGTAAAAAATAAATATTTTTAGAGTTATGTTTTTCTAAAAAATATATAAAATTGTATAAAACTCATAGTGTGGTTTCATAATATTGCATTAAATTTTTCATTATTCCAAAATTTGATCAGATTTTCTATAATTTCATAAACTCTGCATTAACTCCTTGACCGTCTACGCCCAAATTGAAAATAAATTTCACAATCTCAATATTTAAATTATTAAAATTACAAATATACTCAATTTTTTATATTTAGCCTTGAAGAACTCATATATAGTTACCGAAGGGTTAAACTCAAAATTTATTAAATTAACCACGAATAAATTTAATACAATTTTAAAAGTACGAATAATTTAGTTCAATTACTGGAACTAGTGAATTTTGTACAATTTTACTAAAAAAAGAAAATATTAATATTTAGATAATGTCAAAAATTTTAAAGTGTATAAAATTAGTTGTCTTGCGCCTACCATCCTGAAGTGTTGACTTTCTTTCGTCTTCTTCCCTTTTAATTTCATGCATGCATTTGCACCAGCACAGAACCCGCTGCACTGCTCTCTCTCTCTCTCTCTCTCTCTCTCTCTCTCTCTCTCTCTCTCTCTCTCTCTCTCTCTATATATATATATATATATATAATTTGCTGTAATATGCACGCGTATTTATTATTTATATTAAACTTCCAGCACCCTCGATCCCTTTCGTTTTTAAATATAAATATTGCAGTGTTGGTCAGAGAAGTTGGAGATCAGTGGGTTTTGTAAATCATATCAATGGCTGGCAGAGGAAGAGGAAGAGGAAGAGGAAGAGGAAGAAGAAGAGGGAGTAGGTGTGGTGGGGTGATGCTTGTGGTAGTGTTAGTCGTCTCATACTTTGTGTGCAACAATGAGGCTATCAATATCCCTTCCACCAGTAACTACTATTTCTACCTCTACTTTACTTTTCACTGCTACCTTTCTCCACCATTCTTCAATCTTTCATTCATCTTATCTAAATTTTGTTGAATAAACTTAAATGTATTTTTAAGTGGGTGTTAAAGCATGGGAGTGTGGTTAGTGGATATTAAAAATATATAATGAGCATCGAAGAGGTTACACTAAAATAATGTGATTTATGTTATGATTAATTGTGCTTTTAATTTGTGAAGTATTCCATGTTTTTTTTCTTTTTTTGTGCTTTAAAATGTAGTCATTGGTGTATTTTTAGTGTGTTACGTAAGGATTAATTCGAGAGAAAAAAAAAAAAAAAACAAGTGTTTTGTTTTCGCGCTTTAGATTGTGTTCGAGTGTTTTGTTTTCGTAATTTTGTGTTTGTATTGGTGTGTGTTTGTCTCCACATTCGATATTTTTCAAATTTATATCCATTTTTATTTCTGAATTGCCATAAAAAAATTGTACTCCCTCTCCCACATAATTTGTTCCTATTTTCTATTTTCATCCGTCCTACATAAATTGTTCATTCATTTTTTTAAATATAATTATACACTTTAATCTCATTTTAAATTTTAAATTTTATAATCTTTTAATCTTAATTAAACTATTTAGAGATCTTAATCTTAATACACAATTATTTTTATTATACGATAATTATTTTTATTAATACACTTGTTAATTATTTACTAATCACACTTTACCTAAATTCCCATATCTACAGTAATAGGCCCATAATACATGGGACGGAGGGTGTATTTTTGTTTCCTTTTGTAAAATAAATAGTATCTACTTTATTTTTATATCCAACCCAACAGACATTTTGGATAAGTGAGTTATTATTAATATTATTATTGTTCATGTCTGATTTATATATATTCGCAGGGAGTATTGATTATTTGATGCAGAAATCTCCAGCCCATGAAACTGCAACAAGGGTATGCTTGTGCGCCATACATTTTATATACAAATATACATGTTACAGTGCACATATAGAGAGAGAACATTCTATTTTCATTTTCATTTTCATTTTATTTATTTTATAAAAAGTAGGGCACAATAGAATTGAAAGTTTTTAAAAAATTTCTAATTAATGAAATAGAGTATTTAATATAAATATAGTTTTTTAAATAATTATTGCTAATCAACAGCAACAAAATTTTGTAAAAAGTATATATGTAAATTGAACATAATTTTTTTAAAACAATGATAAATTAAAAGTATTTTTTCCATCCATTTTGAAAATATACATTTATTTTTAGTACGAATTTTAAAAAATAATAATATTTTAATTATAGTGGATAGTTAAAAATAATGTAAATATTCTTTTGAGAAAAAAATAATAATGAGATGATAGATTAGAGACATTTATTAAAAAAAAAAAAAAATGAAGTCTGTTTACTAAAAAAAGGCTATTTTATAATCGGATAATACAAACAATATTATATGTATACTTTATAAGTAGAATCGATCAAATTTTGATATACTAGTTTTGAGCAAAAACAAATAACAATAGAGAGACGAAAATAAAAACACATCAAAACACACCATTGTATTTTTTCTTTATTGTTCTTCTACCATTGATCGTTGTTGATTTTGAATTCATCAGGGAAATGATTGTGGGAAAATATGTGACGAGAAATCACGAGAGCGAAGAAAGGATATCGAAGTGAACGACTATGAACGTTCGGGAGCAAACCCACGCCACACACCGCGGCCGATTCCAGGGAGAGGTTGTACGGACTGCTGACCATAGCATTGCTATATCTTTGTACGGATGGTTTTAATGTATATGGTTTTTTATAGCACCAAACAAATACTTCGATCCTATCTTCTTAATACAAATGTTATTACTCTCTATATTTTTATCATCAGCTATTGTGTTTATAAGAACAACTTGGCTGGTTCGGATTGCGCATCTCTCCTTTTTTAGGGACTCGAACAACTGCCCGCATCGAGATTAACTGATGCCATGCTCGAGTAAAGAAGATTCCAGTTCAGACTGGCTGTTGAGTGATTCGGCCCCTTTGGACAACTTGGGCAGCGCTATGGTTCATTTTTTATTTGCTCTATCTCTCAATATGCCGGATCATTCCTGCATTGTTGGAGGTGAAGAAGAGGTGGTGAGTGGGATATGAGCAGATGATATGTGAGGTTGAATTTCTGTATTTTCTCATTGATGAATAAATGAGTTCAGAGGCAATATATATACAAAAGCAGAGAGAGGAGAACCTAAGCGTAACAAATTGCTAACAGACTCGTAACATACTACCTTTACGAATATTATGGTCCAACACTGAAAGGTTATGAGAATCTTCTTCCAACACCCCCTGTTCAAGTTCAATCGGAAGAGCAACAAGGTTAAGCTTGGAGAGGAAGGAGGTAAGGACAGTAGATGAGACAACCTTGGTACAAATGTCAGCTAGTTGTTGGGATGAACAAACAAAGGTCAACTGGATTACCCTTGCCGCATGATGATCTCGAATAAAATGACAGTCAATATCAATGTGTTTAGTATGCTCGTGATGAACTAGATTTTTCATCATTTGTAGGGCTGATTGATTGTCATAAAAGAGTCAGATCGACGGCGGAACTGATAGCTGAAAGTCACGCAGCCGATAAGTGATTCATAAAATCTCCGAGACGGTGGAAGCTAAGGCACGATACTCAGCCTCGGCAGAAGAGCGAGACACGGTAGGTTGTTTCTTTGTCTTCCAAGAGATTAAAGATGAGCCAAAGAATACATCGAACCCTGTGAGAGACTTATGAGAATCTAAGCAGCAGCCCCAGTTCGCATATGAGAATGAAGCAAGAGTATGTCAGATTTGGAGGAAAAGAAGAGCTTGAAATGACTGGAACCGCAAAGATAGTGCAAGACATGTTGGGCAGCCATCCAATGTTGATGGTTGTGTGCGACATAAACTATGAAAGATGTTGAATCGTAAATGAGAGATCAGGCCTAGTCGTTGTAAGATATAACAGACAACCAACAACACGGCGATACAACGTAGGTTTGTCGAAAGCAAAACCATCAGTCTGGCATTTACATCCAAAGGCCAAAGGAGTAGCACAAGGAGATACCTCACATAGGCCAGCATCAGTCAGAATATCTTCTATAAACCTGTGCTGGGAGTCTAAGAAACCAAAATTGGTAGACTCTATTTGAATACCGAGAAAGTAATTTGCACACCCAACATCCTTGTCAAGATAGGCCTTGACTTGAAGAATAGTGGGAAGATCAGTCCCTGCTAGTAAGACATCATCCACATAAACCAAAAAGGCACTTTAGTTTGAACCAAAAGCCATAAAGAAAAAGCAATTGTCATGATTTGATCTTTGAAACCCAAAACGAAGAAGTTTTCCAAAGAATTCCTTGTACCATTGTCGTGGTGCTTGACGTAGACCATAAATTGATTTTTTAAGTTTGCACACAAGGCCATGAGGAACCAAGCTACCAGCTGGGGGCACCATATAAAGCTCTTCCTCAAGCCGACCGTGAAAGAAGGCATTGTTCACATCGAGTTGATGGACGTTCCAACCTTTGGCAGTGGAAACTGCTAATAGCAGGCGGACAGTTACAGATTTAGCCACTGGAACATCCGATTATATAAAGTCACGCCCCATCATTTGAAGAAACCCTTTGGCGACTAAACGGGCCTTGTGTTTGTGAATCGAGCCACCGACATTTCTCTTAATTCGAAAAGTATATTTACAGGCAATTGGCTTGGTAACACAGGGAAGTGGAGTTAATTCCCAAGTTCCATTGGATTCCAAAGCATGCAATTTCATCCGCAACAACAACTTTCCAACACAGATCTTTCATGGCCTGTGCAATAGACACTGGTTCTTGCGTAGAAACAGTATATACATGATGCCATATATGTGTGGAAGGGCGAGAAAAGAGGAAGTCGTTATGCCATAAGGGTTTAAAATGGATTCTAATAGGTCTGGAAGGTTTGTTAGGTGGGTGCAAGGGAGCAGGTGTTGAAGGAGCTAACATAGGGCTTAAAGAAGCACTGCACTTATCTGGTGAATGGGGGTATCAACAGAGAGGAGCGGCAGTGATGCAGTAGCCATGAGGAGCTGAAGCAGGAGGAATGTTAAAGGACACATTAGTTGGTGTCGAAGAGACATCATGGAAGTGAGATGGGTATGGAAAGATGTCTTTATAAAAATGGACATCTCTAGCGATGAAGACTTTATTTTCATCAAGATCCAACAGTTTGAATCCTTTTTTGCCAGGTGGATAGCCCAAGAAAAGACACCTTTTGGATCTGAAATCCAACTTTGTGCGATGAGGATTGGTGTCAATGCCATAACACAGACAACCAAATGTGTTGATTTGAGAAGTTTAGGAGGGTGGTTGTGGAGTTTCTCATATGGAGTGCACCAGTTTAAGGTAGCAGTGGGTAGTCTGTTATGATATGTGTGGCCATGAGTAAATCTTCACCCCATAAATGATGCAGTAATTCAGCTTGAAGGAGAAGAGTTCGGGTTATTTGCGGAAGATGTTTATGCTTTATTTCAATCAAACCATTTTTCTTTGGGCTATAGGGACATGAATGTTGATGGTTTATGTCATTCTGATGGAACAATTTAGAGCAGTGGTTATTGACAAACTCACCTCCATTATTAGAGCGGATGGTTTTAATAGTGTGGTACCATATTGAGTTTTGATGTTAAGGATAAAGTGTTCTATGGCAAGGTAGGTTTGTTGTTTGGTAGGAGAATGATGGTCCAGGTGGTACGGGAGTCGTCATCGACTAAGGTAAGAAAGTAGTGACACCTTGTTATAGATGCAAGCTTGTATGGCCTCTAGAGATCAATATGCAAGAGATCAAAACAAGCGTTAGATTTGGAAACACTTTATGAAAAGGCAGCCTATGATGTTTAGCTTTATGACAAGCATCACAAGGGGTATATGCATTAACTGTAGGTAAAGACAAATATTTCAAAGTTTCAGATGAAGGATGTCCATAACCATGCTTCAGAAGTAGTTGAGATGGAAGCTACAACTGGAACAGAAAGAGCGACTTTTTATGGTGAAGATGTATGAGGCTAGAAGGTATAAAGATTGCCCATACGAAGTCCACTGCCAATAGTGTTGTTAAAGGTCAAATTCTGCAAGATACACACAGATGACAGGAATGGAGCTTGCAGATATGACAAGATGCACCACTATCTAGAAGTTCGGAAGAAATATCTAAAGCAACAACATCAAAATATATGTTACCTGCAATTTCGATGGCCAAGTTGGTGTATTCAATGAAAGTATCTAGTGCCTTCATAAGAAGCTTCTTCAACTCAGGTCAAACCAAGGCGCCAAGGTCTTCAGGAAAATCATCATTCTTTTGAATATGAGGATCACTCAATTTGGCTTCAGTGGCAGCATTCACCATATTTCCCCGTTGCTCCTATATTTCTTTGTACCATGAAGGAATTCCATGGAGTTTAAAACAACTATCCTTGGTATGCCCTTTACCCTTGCAATACTCGCAAGTAGAATTTCTTTTATCCTGGACTTGTCTCCTTTTGTCTCCCCATTTTTTATTTGATAGCAGTCCTTTTGATTTTAGTAGCTACCACATTTTGATTGGCAAATTCTATTGTTGTAACTTGCAGCTCTTTCTGTTTTTCAACTTGTAGAAGCAGAGCATAGGCCCGACTCATGGTTAGCAAGGGATCTGTTAGGAGAATTTGTCCTTGGAGGCTCTCGTATGTGTCATTCAGACCAGTGAGAAATTGAATGAGTTGATCTCTGTCCAACCAAGCAGCATTACGTTTATTGATGTCACATGAGCATTTTCCACATGAACAGCTAGTTGGAGGATCAATAGCTGTTAATTTATCCCACAACTTTTGTAGTTTAGTGTAGTAGGCAGAAATCTTATCTCCACCTTGAGATAAAGCAGAGATACTCTTCTGCAATTGAAATATGAGTAAGGAGTTATACTTCCCAAATTTCTTTGTCAGATTATCCCAGAGTTGCTTGGCCGTTGGCACAAAGACGAATGCATCTTGAAGTTCTGGAGCAATGGAGTTTCTGATCCAGGCCCACACCATTGCATCAAATTCAATCCAAGCTTCATATATAGCATCATTGTATCTTGGCATTGGTAATTTACCAGGATGAAGCCCAGTTTTCCTCTTGCAAGAAGTGATGTGGGAACTGTTCGAGACTAGGTGATATAGTTGTTGCCATTGAGAAGAAAGGGGGATAGGGAGAAACTAGGATGATCTCGAGGTTGTAGTATTAAGGCTTTAGGTAACAGAGGGACCAAAATTCCATAAGTTGTTTGATACTCTGGTTTACGGATAGGGGTATTGGCCATGGAACATTAGCTAGCAGTAAGTACCTGCTTTGATGCCATGAAGAAGAGGTAGTGAGAGAGATATCAATAGATGGTATGTGAGGATGAATTTCTGTATTTTCTCATTGATGAATAAAGAAGTACAAAGGTAATATATATACAAAAGCAGACAGAAGAGAATATATGCGTAACAAATTGCTAATAGACTCCTAACAAACTATTGCTACGAATATTGTGGTCCAACACTGAGAGGTTATGAGAATCTTCTTCTAACAAGAGAAACAATCAAAAAGTAATTCCCAAAACACAAATACGTAGGCCGTAGATCTTTTAATGTTAAATTTATCAACTAATGTGTTGTATCGGAAATTTTGCTTTACAACGGCCAATGTTTGCTATGCCTGTTGAAAGGGTGAAAAAAATGGATTCCCCGGCTCACTCAAGAAAGTCTCCGGACTAGTCTCGCGTAAGATAATATATGAACAAAAAATAAAGCAAGAAAAACAAGAAAAATTTGGCGGAATTTAACATAACTGGGTGGAAAATGAGGA